TAGAATAAAAGGGAGGAGCACAGCTAAGGAAAAGGGGGGGAAAATGGCGGACTGCGTTGTTTGGCGACCCCCGTGAAATGGTCGTTCGACCCCAACTGGGGTCCCGACCCACAGGTTGAGAACCACTGCTCTAAGCCATAAGTCAGTGTCTGCAAATTACAGTGTGTTTGTCCTACAACAACTGCACACTGCAGGCAAACAAACTAGCTGTTGATCGAACCACAAAAGTCTAATCTCAGCCATCCTGGATGCTTTGTTTTGACTTACCAAGTTGTGTAAACACAGCTACTGTACTTTGTCAACACGCTTTAATGTCTTAGTTTGATGTATGGTCAAATTTAAGTGTTTTTTCCAACTATCACCACTGCAAAGCAGATTTTTTTTAAGGAAGCATGGGCAATCCAACCTGACTCAGCACCCTTGTTACAGGAATATCGGTGGGGGGGGGGGGAGCCAAGAAGAGACCTCCACCTTATTTAAGGACATTTCATTACCTTTGGGATCCACAAGAAGATGGCAGTTGTAGATCCGTTGCGTGCTTTCCCAGTCTCTGCCCCTCTCGTGGAAACCTCCAAGGGACAACCACACTCCACACTCCCTGTCCGGAGAGAAGCAAAGGCTTGTTCCCACCTGTGCTTACCTGGCTGAGGTTCTCCCCTTCCCCCCTGGTGGCACCTACAGAAGATGGAGCCGTTTTCTGCATCTGCTACAAGAACTAAAATCTTTTTTTTTCTGAAAGAGTTTTAGGTTGGGCTTTCTCAGACTTTGAAACGTTTAAGAGGTGTGGACTACAACTCCCAGAATTCCCCAGCCAACTACGCTGGATGGGGAGTTCTGGGAGTTGAAGTCCACACCACTTAAAGTTGCTAAAGTTGAGAAACCCCAACCTAAGGAGATGAACGCATTTTTTTTAGATGTTTTATCTTGCCTTTAGTTATTTTTATAAATAACTAAAGTTGGCAAACGTACCTAAAAGACTTTCCTTCTTCTATTTTCCTCACCACAACAACAACCCTGTGAGTGGGCAGGGTTGAGAGTAGCCCAAAGGCATCCAACCAGGTTTCATACATAAAGTGAGACGTGAACCCACCATCTCCTGCTGACTGTCCCAAAGCCACTCAGCTGGTTCTCATGCCTAAGGCAGGACTAGAATTCGCCACCTCCTGGTAATTAGCCCAAAGTTACCCATGCAGGATTCGAACTCACCGTCTTCTGGTTTCTAGCCTGGTGTCTTAACCATGAGACCAAATTGATTTGTTCTGTGACCATTTTTATGATTCATCCTAGCTGTAGGTCGATAGGCCCCCACTGGGAGGGATCCACCTTCTTTCAGAAGCCACCCCAGTCATTCTGGCACCCTGAGAGTCCTACCTGGCCAGGCTGACGTAGCGCTGAAGGTAATCCCCCTCCAGGGGCTCCGCCAGGCTGAGAGTCTCTTCCGTGGTGCTGCCAATAAAGTCAAAGGCTTCTGGGAGGAAGACAAGGCAAGCATCCCGCCGAGTTGCCTCTCGGACAAGCTGCGAACAAACCGCCCAGTTGTGTTCTCGGTCTGGAGTCGAGGTCACCTGGCAGACCGCAATGAGGGGCTTTGGGCCTCTCACACCCGAGGACATCGCTTGGAATCTGGACAGAAAATATGGAGCAGGTATCAGAGGAACTCGAACGCAAAAGCCATCACCCCTGGAGGAGAAACAGGAAGTTTACTTAGCATTTAACTTCTCCATTTAGTTTTAGCATGCTTAATCTTTCTGGATTGCTGGGGAAGAAAACGTTTGTTGGGATCTCCCAGCACTAACTTGAAATTGGAAGGCAACAAATGACTTTTCTGAAAATCCCAACATTTCAACTCGATCTCCAACGGCAGAGCTCCTCTCCCTAAATTATAAATTGGCATTCTTGTTTCGTGCTCAGAGGGCTGACTAGCAATCAAATTGCAGATGGCGGCATCCAGAGCACACACTGAATCACAGCAGCCAACAAACTTAATACAATCTTTGGTTGTATAAACAGACGTATAGAATCACATGAAGTATTAGTACCACTTAATCAAGCCTTAGTAAAACCACACCTGGAATACTGCATCCAGTTTTAGTCACCACATTACAAAAAAGATGTTGAGACTTTGGAAAAAGTGCAGAGAAGAGCAACTAAGATGATTAAAGGCCTAGAGACTAAAACATAGGAAGAACGGTTGCAGGATTTGGGAATGACCAATCTAAAAGAAAAAAGGAATAGGGGTGACATGATAGCTGCCTTCCAATATTTGAGGGGCTGCCGCATAGAAGAAGGAGTCAAGCTATTCTCCAAGGTAGGACAAGAAGCAACAGATGGAAACTAATCAAGGAGAGAAGCAACCTGGAATTAAGGAGAAATTTCAAGACAGTAAGAACAATTAACCAGTGGAACAGCTTGTCTCCAGAAGTTGTGGGTGCGTCATCACTGGAAGTTTTCAAGAAAAGACTGGACAGCCACCTATCTGAAAGGGTATAGGGTCTCCTGCTTGAGCAGGGGTTGGACTAGAAGACCTCCAGGCTCCCTTCTTAACTCTATTCTGATTGAGAAAGTTTCCATTTTCTTACCCTGTCTTACTGCTCCAAGGCTGTCATGTGCAAAAAAGCATCCCTAAATTAGTTACCTGTGGCCAGATTCCTGGCTCTGGATCCCTCTAAACTGTTTCCCAGCAGCACAAAGGATTTGCAAGGTCTTCTGGACCACCCCTCTCAACCTGGAAAAAGATGCCAAAAGATGAGGTGGGTTTTTTTCTGAGCTTCAAGGAGAATCTCTTCCAAGCCTGGAGAAGAATAATTATTTTAATAGAAGAGAATATTTGCAGCTCAGGGATTAACTGTGAAGTACAGGTAACCCTCAACTTACAACAATTTGTTTAGTGACCATTTGAAGTTACAATGGCAGTGAAAAAAGTTTTTACATTTCATATTTCACACTTATGATCGTTGCAACATCCCCATGGTCACGTGATCAAAATTGAAAGACTTGACAATGGACTCATATTTATGACAGTTGCACAAAGTGGTACAAAACTCACTTAACAACTGTCTTGTTTAGCAACAGATATTTTGGGGTCAATCTTGGCCATAAGTCAAGGACTGCCTGTACTTGGTGGTCTCTGAGTAGTTTGTTTTTTGGCACTCAGATAGATCAGTCATCAACAGATCTAAGAGCTACACCGTCTGCCTGTATTTTATTTTCCCCTCTTGTCTTGCCACCTGTTCCTGCCCACAGCTTTCATCGCGCCCCTCAGTTTGAACCAATGGCATGTTCCTACAACACAATGGACCTAGTTGTAGTCAGTGTTTTTTAGACTTGGCTCTTTTTAGAGCTTTAACTCCCAGAATTCCCGAGCCAGCTTTGCAAAATCCTGAGAGTTGAAGTCCAGCCCTCTTAAAAGGGCCAGGTCTATAACTCCCATGTTATAGATCATGGAAATAGAGGCTATGAGCCTATTTATACCTTGACTGCTTGAAATCCATGTCAATCAGCAGTTTGCCCATTTAGTGCACACACACACAAATGGACTATTCCAGTGGTGGCCAACCCATGGCACGGTGCCAGAGGCAGCACTCAGAGCCCTCTCTGTGGGCACGCGTGCCGTCGCCCCAGTCCTAGGCCTTCATCTGGGTTTTATAAACCCTTTTCGCTTTAGGCCTCTGCCCCCATGTGCAAAAAAAAAAAAAAGGTTCAATCAGTCAATTTCAACTTCTCATGGGGAAAAAAAAAGATCTTGCAAAGTTGGAATTGATTGATTGAACTTTTTAGTCCCACCCAGTCTGCTGTTACCACTGCAGCCACGCCCATCCGGCACTCCACGATGCATAAGTGGGTTTTGAGTTGCAGTTTGGGCACTCGGTCTCTAAAAGGTTCGCCATCACTGGACTATTCTCTTCTCTTCTATTCCTATTCTATAGTCTATTCCCATTCTATATTCTGTTCTCTTCTCTCATTCGCACAGCTTGCTACACGGGGTATCCCATGCCCTGGACCCCCCCTCCCCCCCCAAGAAAAATGGGCTGATTGGGGGATCCTGGTTTTGCACAGTGGTAAGGTGACCAACTTTTTTTACAATGAAAAGGAGGACACAAATAAATTGAAGAAAAAAATATCGTAAATAAAAGAAACATTTTATTCATTGCAACAATAATACAGACAACTTGCATGTGCAAAGTTTGCCAGTTGGGTGTTTTGGCGTGCTCAGCAGCAATTCCTATTGGCTTTCCCAAGCCAATAGTGGGAATAGCACAGCTCATGCAAAAGTTGAAAAAATAAAAAATAAAAAAAAAGGTGCTGGAACGCCGTTCTGAGCTTTCTATGAGAAAAAAAAGCCCTGCAGATTAGTCTTTAAACATCGAAAAGGAGGACATGAAGGAGGACACTTTTCGAGGGAGGACAGAACTTGCAAAAGGAGGACTGTCCTCCCTAAAGGAGGACGGTTGGTCACCTTAACAGTGGGCTACTGCTTCCAGCCAGCCCCCCCACCCGCACCCCCGCAGCTCCAGCGCCCCACATTCCGCTCCTGCCTGCGGCCCACGCGCGCCCCGGAGATCCTCCACGCCAGCGGCTGCTTTCCTCCGTTCCAACTCGGTCCATCCCGGAAGTGCACTGGGCCCCTAAGAAAGATGGCGGCTCCGGCGCTATACGGCCCACTATATTTCCGCTTCCGCTCCCCTGATTTGAATAACGCTCATCCTTTCGCCGTTTTTTCCTCGCGGGCCCGTCACGTGGCCGCGGCGACCCGCCTCCTGGGAAGTGTCAGCCGCGCCCTTAACAAAGATGGATGCCCCAGGGAGGGTATCAGGCGGAAATAAACCGCCCAAACTAGACTGATTCTCAGGCCTGCGGAATCACCTTCACTCTCTGTTGCAGAATTTTGGTTTCAAATGTGGATACTTTCATATTTACGGGAAAAAGAAGCGCGGAGAGCAAGATTCCCGTATCAAAGATGGCGGACAAAACGGCGCAACGGCGGCTTCCGGTCTCTGAATAACTGACCAACCGGAAGTTGTGTTTCTCCCGGCCAGGAGGGAGGAGGGCGAAGATGGCGGAGGAGAGCAAGAGCAAGAGCGGCCCGGCGGCGGCTCAGGCGGGTCCTGCGGGCGGCGGCGGGGCAGCGAAGCCTTTGACTCCCGAGCAGGTACCGCGGTGGGCGGGCTGGGAGCAGCAGCGAACCGAGCGGCGGGCTTCTGGGCATGTGCAGAGCGCCCAGCCGAGCAGAAGGATGCGGTTGGACGTGGTTGCCATAGGCGATGATGCTGCTTCTCTCCCCTGAGCATGTGCAGAGTGCCCTAAACCCGTTTCCTCGGTCCTGTTTCCAGGGCCAGGCCTATCACGAGGCTCTTAGGAGACGTTGAGCCGCCTTATTTCTTTTATTTATTCATTTTTATTCATTATTCATTTTCTATAGCTGCCCCTCTCGGTCAATGAGGCTGGGCGGCTGATAATTCAAATCCTGATCTGGGCCTGGTTGCTGAACTCATGGGGGGGAGAATGTCATAGAAATACAGGCAGTCCTCGACTTAACGACCGTTCCAAGTTACAACAGCACTGAATAAAGTGACTCATGACCACTTTTCACACTTACGACCATTGCAGCATCCCCAGGATTCACATTTGGATGCTTGGCCACTGACTCACATTTAGGACGGTTGCAGCGTCCCCGGGTCACGTGATCCCCTTTTACGACTTTCGGACAAGCAAAGTCAATGGGAGAAGCCGGATTCGCTTAACAACCATTTTACTAATTTAACAACTGCAATGATTCACTTAACAATTGTGGCAAGAAAGGTGGTAAAATTCACTTACAACGGTCCCACTCAGCAATAGAAATTTTGGGCTCCTTTGTGCTTGTAAGTGGAGGACGACCTGTTTAGAAAACTGAGGGCAGAAAAGATCTAGTCGTCTATTGAGTCTGCTCTTCAGGGGTTTTTTTTGGTCTTATTTTTAATTTATTATTTTTCATTGTTTTTATATTTTATTTTATTTTAAAATGTTTGTCATATGGCGGATGTGTGTTTATCCCAAGAATGTTTAAGCTCAGTTACTGATGACTGACCTGCTGCCTCCGCTGGAAGTTGGTGCCAATCACAGCTAATACGAACCGAGACACGGGTGTGGGCTCAATTTCATATTCAGGTGGTGTGTTTCCCACATTATAGTGAGTTTACAAGTTGCTAGAGTTCAAATCTTTGCGCAGGCCTTGTCTCTGGCTGGTTTGAACTGGTTCTTATCAGAATCCACATTGAGAAGGTTCTGTTGCTTCAAAGAACTAGAAACGTTAATCAAAGACATTCCTAGTTACTGAAAACATTACACAAAGTTCTCCCCTTTCCCACTCCCAACAGGGGCTTCTGATTAAATTAGCCATTGTAAGCCATCCAGACTCATTCTGGATAGTGACGGGGTGGCATATAAAGTTAATAAAAGATACCACAACATGTAATTGGACTGGGAAGCTGATAGGAGTTACTCTTCTCTCCTTGGTAATACACACAGGGATGGTTGTCGTGAATCCTCAGCGCACTCAACTGCTTGAGGAAAGCAAAGACACAAAGGGCCGTTTACCGTCTAAAATTTATGCACAAAAGAGATGACGGGATGAGGCGGGCTAGAAAGAACAAATAAAAGCAGTTCTTGTTCATTAACATAGGTGTAATTTTCCCTTCCAGGTGGTAGCAGGATTCAACCGCCTCCGTCAGGAGCAGAGAGGTCTCGCTTCAAAGGCAGCTGAGCTGGAAATGGAACTGAATGAACACAAGTATGTCATGACCACAGATGAAAAGTGGGGATTTTCTTGATTCTTGGCAGATAAAAAAAGTCTGCTTTTAGGGTAGCCCAGATCCACCTAGTACAGGTAGTCCTTGACTTACAACCACAACTGAGCCACAAATTTCTGTTGATAAGCATGACAGTTGTTAAATGAGTTTTGCCTCATTTACGACCTGTCTTGCCATTGCTGTTAAATGAATCACTGCAGTTGTTAACTTAGTAATATGGTTGTTAAGAGACTTTGCTTCTCATAGATCACAAAAGAGGATTCCGTGACCCCAGGACACTGCAACTGTCGTAAATATGAGTCAGTTGCCAAGTGTCTCAATTTTGATCACATGACCATGGGGATGCTACAACAGTTGTCAGTGTGAAAAACAGTCAAAACCCTTGTTCAGCGCTCTTGAAATTTCAAATGGTCACAAAACAAACAATCGTAAGTCGAGGACTACTGGGCAGCAATGAGGCTTCAAGACAGAAGTCCATAAACTGATTTGTGGGCTCCCTGATTTCTAGATTCTAGATCACTTGTGTTGGCCTCATCTGGAGATGTTGAACCAAGCTTGCCATTTTCGTCTCCTGTGCAGGTTGGTCATTGAAACACTCAGAGAGGTGGACCCGACCAGGAAGTGCTTCCGCATGGTGGGGGGAGTGTTGGTGGAGCGCACCGTCAAGGAGGTTCTCCCAGCCCTGGAAAACAACAAGGAGCAGGTAAGCCAGAATTGCTTGACAGACAGATAGATGTAGATAGATAGACAGACAGATAGATATAGATAGATAGATGAGAATAGATAGATAGATAGATAGATAGATAGATAGATAGATAGATAGATAGATAGATGAGAGTAGATAGATGAGAGTAAATAGATATAGATAGATGAGAGTAGATAGATATAGATTAGATAGATAGATAGATAGATAGATAGATAGATAGATAGATAGATAGATAGATGAGAATAGATAGATGAGGGTAGATAGATGAGAATAGATAGATACAGATAGATTAGAGTAGATATAGATATAGATAGATAGTTGTTTTCTGAGGTTTTCGCGGGTATTTGTATGTAGGTCTTTGGTTGTTCGGGTTTTCTCCCGCGTAAAATTGGAAGTGTCTTGGTCGCCAAGACACTTCCAATTTTACGCGGGAGAAAACCCGAACAACCAAAGACCTACATAGATAGATAGATAGATGAGAGTTAGATAGATAGACAGAAAGGAGTAGATAGAAAGAAGAGTAGATAGAGAGTAGGTAGGTAGGTAGGTAGACAGATGATAGATAGATAGATAGATAGATAGATAGATAGATAGATAGATAGATAGATAGATGAGAATAGATAGATACAAATAGATGAGAGTGGATAGATAGATAAGACAGACAGAAAGAAAGAAAGAGAGAGTAGATAGTGCTGTTTGGACATTGGGTAGCCTCTCCAACTCTCCATGAGACAGCAAAGGTCTCTTTGGCATCTTTAATGAATACAGGCTGTCTCTGACTTATGACCACAACGGAGCCCAAAATTTCCATCGCTACCTGTAAACAAGGCGATTGTGCCCCATTTTACAATGTTTTTTGCCATAGTTGTTAAGCGAATCTCTCTGGTGAGTTGTGCCCCATTTCATAACATTTTTTATGTACATTCCTTACATGTCTACATGCAACCCACTTCCCCCCCCCCAATTTAACAGGATTTCTTATGCCCCTGTTGGAGGAGGGATTCTCGGGTTGGACAGGGCTGGCGCGGTTCTTCTAGTTCCCAAACTTTTCCGAGGCACAGAAAGTCCCCACAATTTGGAGAGAAGCCAACCCTGAGTGTAACACTGCCATTTGACACGGGTTTTCTGCTAGCCTTGCCGATTTGTCACCACCAGCCTTCATTAATTTTCTTGCACAAATAACAGATCCAGCCTCCTGGTTCTTTTCACATAGGGCATAATTCCATGTTAACTGCAGGAAGATATTTTTCTGAGCCTAGATCCACCCAAATAGACGTCCCTGCCTCTTCAAGGAAAGAGAGTCACTCCCCTCCCTCCCTCCCTCATTATTTTTAACAAATAATCCAAGGTGGTGAACATACCTAATCCTCCTTCCTCCTCCTATTTTCCCTACAATAACAACAACCCTGTGAGGTGGGCTGGGCTGAGAGAGAATGACCGGCCTAAGGTCATCCAGCCGGCTTTCGTGGCTAAGGCGGGCCTTGAGCTTACAGCCACCCCACTGACTTACTGCCTCTTCCCTCTTTGCCCCCCTGCAGATCAACAAGATCATCGAGACCCTGAGCCAGCAGCTGCAGACCAAAGGCCGGGAGCTGAATGAGTTCCGTGAGAAGCACAACATTCGTCTGATGGGTGAAGAAGAGCAGAAGCCAGCTGCCAAAGAGAGCCCGGAGGGGGCAGCTGCCAAATCCAGTTCAGCAGGAGTCCTGGTCTCTTAAGGAGAAGAGTGGACTAGTATGGAAGGACTTGACCCCCCCTCCCTCAGCCCACAGTTGCAGCTTTGGATCTCAGAAAAAAAAAAACCCACCGTTATCACTATGGATGTTATAGGGTCATCTTCACTGTGTTTTGTTAAATAAATGTTGGTTTGTTGTGAAATTTAGGCAAGCATGCAAGTCTAGGATTGTCTTCATAGTATGGGGTAGGGTGTGTCTATGTCCAGGGCAGCGATTCTCAACTTTAAGACGTGGACTTCAACTCCCAGAATTCCCCAGCCAGCAATTCCCTGGTGATTACACATTCCTTTTGATGTCTGATGTATACCAGCTTACTCTCGTATGATCCCTTCCTCTGCAATCTCTCCATTCTAGGGATTGAGAGGCAGAAAATGGACATGGCTGGCTGAGGTTCTGGGAGGTGAAGTTCACCCACCTTAAAGTAACCTAGAGCAACGTTTGAGATAAGAGAAGCCACACTAGCCAAAGCACATTTTGGTTCCTTGACCAAAACTTCCATTCGTAAGCAAGACGAGTGAAGGAATGAGGAGAATTGCTAAGGTGAAATTCTGCGCAGTGTCTGTGGAGCTTCATTTTTGCACACGGGAAGTGCCCTCGCTGGCAAAATGCATGACAACATAGCAGCTGTCGGTTTGGAAAGCCGTGCCCCAAATCCTCTCTAAGACAAACCCCCACCACAGAACGAATTGTAAGAAGTATTTAGGAGTGTTTCATTTTGTAATTTCAAATTAAGAACGGGTGACATTTATTTTATGTAGTCCTCTGTGAAAAATGAAAAAGCGTGTGTAAGGACCCACCCCACTTTGCATCTTAAGAAGACAGAACTCTTGGAATAGTTCTTCCAACAGGAATCCTTTATTAAGAGAAAATGGTTGCAGGCATGCTAGACAGGACTTGGGGTCCAAGCTCTCCCATTCAAGGTTTTAAGGGGTTCCCCAGTAGTCCCACCCAATCAACCCCCCTTCCCAGTGATAGTTTCAAGTATCACAATTCCACCCCGTTTCTTCTTTCTTCCGTCTGGATGGAGACTTCAGATAACTACATGAAAGGCAAATACTCTTCTTTGTTAATGCTAATGTTCTCTGGTGTTAACGCTTTGAGGTTACAATAGGTTACAATAAACACACATTCAGCATTCAGCTCTTTGAAGTCTACTGAAGGAAGTGAGGGCCATAAAGCCCCTTTGTTCTCCCCCTTCTCTCCCTCTTATGGCAGAATCCAAAGAAGGCAGAATTGGGAGTTTCTATATTTGATAATTAAAGATGAAATATGATTGGATTCTGACATCCGGCCCCTCTTAAAAATAAGAGAGATCCACCTGAAAGAAAACACAAGTATAAAATTTAGTCAGGCTTGTTAGGATACTCTGTGTGAAACTTCTTCAATAGCTTCGGGGCTCTGACATGACGTTTATGGACCCACTCATTTTGTGAGGGAGGGAGGTGTTTCCAGGCAACTAGGTACTGAGTTGCTCCATGATATCTCCTAGAGTCAAGGACTTCCTTTATTTCGAAGTGTTGTTCACCCTCCACCATGATTGGAGGTGGTGGGGGGGGGATTTTTGGCCGTAGAGGTGACTGATGCTCTCTTTTCAGCAAGCTGCAATGAAAAATTGGGTGTATTTGCCTGAGATTTTTGGGTAATTCTAATTCTACTGTTACTGGATTTATGATTCTTTTAATTGGAAAAGGTCCTATGTATTTTGGTCCAAGTTTTTTACAGGGCTGTAGGGACTTTAGGTATTTGGTAGATAAGTACACCATCTCTCCTATAATGAATGGTGTAGGCTCAACCCTTTTTTTATCGGCTTGTGTTTTGTAAGCCTGCCTAGCTTCATCTAGTGCTTTTCTGACTATTGGCCAGGTGTTTTGTAATTTTTCCATCCATTCTTTCAGCGAGGGGATCGTTGGTTCGTTTGGGGTTAATTCTGGCATGGGGTTGAAACTTTGACCGGTGGCTATTTGAAAAGGAGTGTAACCTGTGCTGGAGTGGACTGCATTATTGTAGGCAACTTCTGCAAAGGGGAGTAAGTCCGCCCACTCGGTCTGCTGGAAACTAAGAAAACATCTTAAATATTGCTTAAGTACTGAGTTCATTTTTTCAGCCCCCCCATTTCCTTGAGGGTGGTGGCTAGATGTCAGTCCCTGAGTGGTTCCTAAGAGGGATAAAAATTCCTTCCAAAATGCAGACGTAAATTGCACCCCCCTGTCAGAGATGATGCGTTGGGGTGCCCCATGCAATCTGTAAATGTGTTGGATGAAAAGTTTTGCTAAGGCTTTTGCAGTGGGAATCTTTTGGCAAGGGATAAAGTGCACCTGTTTGGAAAACAAGTCCGTGACCGTCCAGACCACAGTATTCCCATTGCTTTCTGGCAATTCCACTATAAAATCCATGGCTATTTCTCTCCAGGGGGCTGAGGGACTTGCCACTGTTTGCAATAGTCCTGGCACTTTCCCTTGCAACCTCTTTGCCGTGGCACATTTTGGACAACTGGCTATATAACTTTCAATGTCCTTTTTCATGGATGGCCACCAAAATTGCCGTTTAATTAAATGTAAAGTTTTTACAAATCCAAAATGCCCTGCTGATTTTGTGTCATGGCAAAGGTGCATGAAAATTACTCTTTGAGTTGTTGGTATATATAACTTTTCCCCTATCCAAGGCAACCCGTCTCTCATTGTGCACACATTTTTGTTTTTCTGGAACCAATCATCTGTTTCCAAACTTTTTCTGAATTCAATTCCAGTTTGGCTGTCCAGTTGTGGTTTTAATTTGGCAGCGTGCTTGGTTTATCACAGTGTTTCCCAACCTTGACAATTTTAAGGTATGTGGACTTCAACTCCCAGAATTCCACAGCCAGTGCTGGCTGTGGAATTCTGGGAGTTGAAGTCCACATGCCTTAAAATTGTCAAGGTTGAGAAACAACTGGTTTATCAGGTAACACATTTTTAAAGTGAGCAAGGTGACTATCTCTAGCAGCATTCAGAAATGTCTTTTTCCTCCTTTGTCACAACTGGAGAAGTTGTGCAACACTTCTCAGCCTCCCCCAAAATACAGCAAGAAAATGGTCTCATTTTTTTAAAAAAATGAGAATGGGAGTCTATGATTCTGGGAGAATTTTTTTTTTTCATTCCCTCTCTTGAAACCCCTTTTCCCACAAAACTTATATTCATGTGAAAATATATTTGCTTTAATTCATAGATTAAAAGCCACTACAGGTCGTCCCGTATGACCATAATTAAACCCAAAACTTCCATTCTTAAGCAAGACAGTTATTAAGTGTACCTAACCCCATTTTACAGCCTCCCTTGCCACAGGTGTTAACGTAATTGTTAAGTTAGTCAATACGGTTAGCAACATGGTTGTTAAGTGAATTGGGCTTCCCCCCTTGACTTTGCTTGTGAGAAGGTCGTAAAAGGGGATCACGTGACACTCCCCCTCCCTGGACACTGCGACCGTCATAAATACAGGCCAGTTGCCACTTTTTTTTTTTAAGATTTTGTTTTAAAAGTATCAAATCAAAACTAGACTTTTGGGAAACGTTACAATGGGGGAAGTCAGCTTTTGTTTATAAATTGGGCACAGGGGGAACACATCTCAGATTTAAGGAGGTGACTTCTTGCTGGCATTTTCGGTTTACGTCATGTTTATTTCTGTGCACAAAGAGAACGGACGTCTTTCTGACAGGCGTGGGTGCGTTTGCTCCACCTGAGTGGGCCCACTTTCCACAGCTAACAGGCGAGGTCCTTCAGGAGTGGTGGAAGAAGCATTTGGTGGTCCCAGCTGGTCAGCAAAATCCTCAGTTTCATGGCGAGATCTTTAAGCTGCAGATCTCCGGACAAGGCGTCTTCCCATCGGCTCCAAATCCTCCCACCAGGTAGAGCTTGTCATGCCAGAGGCACGTTCGGTGGCCGCATCTCTTCTGCACGTGGGTAGAAGAAGGGAAGTGAAACCAGTTTGCTGGTGATGCTCCTGGAAGAACGAAGCAAACGCTCGTAAATCCTCAAGTTCGTTGAACGATTGTTCAAAATTACGACAGCCCTGAAAACAGTGTCTTGGGACTGGCCCTGACTCTTAGCAACACGATTGCAATTCACCACTTGGCACCATTGTGCATATGTCATAAGTCAGGGACTACTTGCAATTTCAAATGCAGGTTCCAATCTCGGAAGGCAAGGCTGCTCATTGCAATTTCCTGAGCTGAAGTGAGCTCTTTTTAATTTTCTTGCTGAACAGGACAAGTTGCATGGCAGAAAAAAACGAGAAGAACCACTTGTGTTCTGTCAGTCTCACAAGTTAGAGCAGGGGTCTCTGAACCTGGCCACGTTAAGACTTGTGGACTTCAACTCCCAGAATTCACATGCACTGGCTGGGGAATTCTGGGAGTTGAAGTCTACAAGTGGCCAAGTTTGGAGACCCCCGGGTTAGAGGAAGAGATTTAAAAAAAAAATCTTACTGGCATCATAGATATAAAGATCATTGCAGACGGCGTCTCGGCCCCTCGCCAAGGTCTCTCCCCCAAAAATGATCGCAAAGGGCCCGACCACTGTGCAGGAATGGTGCCTTAGGCCTTTGGGGCCCTGCGGGGACCCCCTTTCACTGCCCACCAAGCGAGAGAGCTGCTCCGTCAGCTCCGGGGCCTGGGCGGACTCGACCTGCGGAAGGAAAAGCAGAGACAGCTTAGCTTGGCCTGACCTTAAGGATGCCACACTTCTTGATTGACTTCCTTTGAAGTGGTTAACCTTATTGTACATACATGCAGCTGCAAGCCCTGCTGGCTGGGGGATTCTGGGAGTTGAAGTCCACCCTTCTTCAAGTGGCCAAGGCTGAGAAACACTGCTCCAAAGCTGGGGTTAGCATGCCAAATCTGGCTGACTTTATCCTCCATCTCTGAGATTTGGGGGAGTGCCATGGCTTTCCTCCCCTCCTAGCAAGACTTTTATTGGGGGCACCTGACCAGCAGGCCCTCTGCTTCAAACCCCTCACGTAATTTTGCCCAGCCTAAGGGCTGGGAACCATTTCCACCCGGGTCTTGGCTTTCTCAATCGCCGTCTAGCATGAGATAAGGTCTCCTACTTGAGCAGGGGGTTGGATAAGACGACCCACAAGGCCTCTTCCAACCCTGTTTTGCTCTGTCTTCTTCTAAGCTACCGA